CCACAGAGGCGGGGCAGGAACATATTACAGCGCTATGCAGCACATAAACAACTAAACACGCCAATTAACTGATGTCTCTCCAGTTTAAGGGAGTCACACGCAGACACACCCCATTAAATTTTAAAACGATTAAGTGCTTTAAAAACCAGGCCATCCGTGACAAACCATGAAAAACAAACCACACGGTTTCGAGCCATTGGGGCAAAAATTAGACTTTATTTGGCATTACTGAAACCTAACACTGTATTAGTATGTAACGAGGGGGGAGTCGACCAACATTATTTCAAAGCTGTGCATCGTATATCTTTACCTACTTAATATACATGAAATCATGACAGCATTTCGGTGAAAGAACCTCCGCAAAAGGCCACCCAGATACGTTCAAAAGAGAAACGACTCATTTAAAATGCACAAAGACCCAGATAAAAACAGCATAACCTTCTTCTGCAGTGCGGTCCCTGTTTTCATATTCCTCAAATGGAGATTCGACACACGAGATGCCTATCTCCTTAAATCCCATTGTGAAAACTCTTTACCAGGGTGCACGCCGTTCCCTGCGAGGAGGATGTTATCGGTGAGGCATTCACAGATCCAGGTTGTTCCGGTGAAATTCACTTAATGCAGCTCTGATTGGGAACATCATTCCCATTAAAGGCCTGTATGTGTGAAGAGTATGTGGCACAGACAAATTAAAGCCGTTTTGGCTCAATAACAAATCACTCAAGCCGTCTCTGTGAGCCTCTCTCACATGCATCGTGTCACAGATGCTTGTGTCCTCACCGTGGAGATGACACCCTTCTCCCGGTCGGCCCGTATACCAGGCCTCCGCTGCAGCCCGGGGAGCCAGACTCGGCCAGCCACAGTGCCGCCCAGTCCTGTGCGGATGATTCACGCGCAGCTGACCGTCAGGGCCTTACAGGGCCCACTGCATACAGAAACGGACAGAAAAATAATAATAATAAAAATAATACATATATATTTTTAAATCACTCATTACAGGATAACTGCCATCCAAAATAGCCCGTGTTTTATTTACGTTGGAGCCAATTTAAGTGAGACTTAAAAAGAAAAACCTCCCCTATATATATATATATATATATATATATATATAAACACAAAGGCAGATGCGTGACAGGCGTTGCGCGGGACCCCACCTCCCCCAGCGGACGGCCTCTTTTTCGGGCGGCTGTCAGGCAGCTCTGGGAGATGTGGTCACTCCTCACCCAGCGCCGCTGCTCCAAGGTGTGACAAGAGCTGCACTGCACGTTACTCTCCTTTTCTCTTTTTATAGTTTCATCTCTCTCTGCCGCCAAGTCCATTTTATAGCGTTAGACAGTTATAAATTCATTATGAAAACACCCAGCCCCCCAAAATGCCGGCTGGGAAGTTTTTCTATAAAGCCTTTTATGACAGTTTGCTGAGAAACACAGTCGGACGGCATTTTAATAGAGACCTGCAAACAGACGGAAGTGGTGGCCATCAGACCCCTTCAGCGGTTCGATTGACCCGAGCTGAGCTCCTGCTTAAGCAAAAACGAAGCCAGCAGTACGTCACGACTGTCTGTTTACAGAGGAAATTTAACAAAGCATCACAGCATTGTAATGTAGTGACGCAGGCAGCCTTAATCAACCGAATAATCAACCAACAGATGATTAATCTATTCCCAAATTTAATAAAGCTCAAAACACAAGTACAGACTGATGAGGTGGCATCGAGTCTCAGGGCCAGGACTGACTGACCCGTGCGAGTGAGGATCCACAAGGCTGGGCCCAGCAGCACCACAGCACACCCTGTATCTGGAGTACAGACCGACAGGAGGAGGGAAAGCGAAGGAATGGTAGAGCGAGCCACAGACGCACACATCCGGTGCCAGGTCCGAGATCCGAGAGCAGCGTACCCCTGGCTCGTTTTGAACACACAGCTGGTGCACTCACATCTAAAGCGCGTACAGCGGCGGGTGGATGCACATGAATCGGCGGGGTGTGGCCACAGTGCTGCCAGCATTGCGTCGGGAAGAACCTGGAACAGGAACTCTGGAACTCCATGTCCTTTAAGACTATAAACTTAAACTGCTATATGCGCTACCGTATTCACATCTTCTGCCAAACATCTGCCTGGGGATACATTTGAATTTATAGCTAGATTCTAGCTTGCAATGGAACTCCAGAGTTCTGGATTTTCCCAAAACCTAGGAATGGTTCGGTGATGCCATTAGGTACGAAATGCGCAGTGTGTGTGTTTGTGTGTGCATGTGTGTGTGTGTGGGGGGGGGGGCAGGCAGATGGCCTTTCAGCTCTCGTGTGGAGGTTGGACCAGCCCTACATGAGAACTGGCATCACATAAAACAAGTTCTTCTAAGCGACGACGTACAGAAGGGCTTTATTCCCCTGACACGTGAGGAGGAGAAAGCCAGCCCGGAGTTTTATTGACAAATTCAACATCTGAAGTAACCAGGAAGGTTTTTCACAGTCAAACAGCCCCAGCCGACGCACCCATAACAGGCCAATACATTGATCGTTTAGGTAAAAAGATGCCAAAGAATATTAATTGGTAAAAATCTGTACCAGCGGGTGCCAGGTTGCTGCATTAGATTACCTTCTGCACAAATTAATAGTGTCACTTTAATCAGTCCTGCTGATTTGGAGCTCAGGTGGTTCAGGCATCTCATAAGACACCCTCAGGCCTGCTCTCAGCAGCGCTGTTTCCGGCACGTCCCACTGGAACGAGGCCCCGGGGCGGACTGGGGGGAAGCGCTGGAGGGATTATACCTCCCAGCTGGCTTTGGGGACATCTCAGGATGTCCTAAAATGAGCTGGAGTCTGTGGGCTGGGATGCAGGAGTCTGGTCTGACCCCATCTGCATGCTGCCACCATGATACTTATCAGGGAAAGCAGGATGATGATGATGATGATGATGATATTTATTCTTAGGATACTAATACACAATTTCTCAACCACAGCAGAGAGATCAAACCAAACACTTAAACATTTACTGTCCCCAGAATTAACATAGATAACTTGAGTCCTTTGGTATCAGTTCTCGACAACTAAATGGCCTGGATAATACTCCAAAATGAGTCCACAGAAAGAACGCAGCGGCGTTTCGGAAAACAGTGCTATCGGGTTACGTGGAGAAAGGACCCAAGGGGAACAAGGCCTGTCCTCCAGGAACGGTTTGATGGAGCCCTGCCCCATACATTACCCACAACCCCTCAAAGAGCGAAATCACCGACTAACGTTCATTCCGGAACCCAATGGACTGAAGCTTACACACTACGTGGGACTGTTTGTCAATTTGGCTAAACAATTACCTTTATCAAACAACAACAAATGTGTAAGTACATTGAACACTGAAAGTTCCTCATCTTAAAGCCCAGAATTGTACTCAGACCGAACAGGGCTTGTGTGAAGAACCTTATGAATTATTTCAAAGATACTCAATTCACAATTTAATCTCAAACACAGATGAGATACCTTTTCCTCCACCTCTATGGACCAGTCACCTCAGCTGTCAAAGTGGGCTTGCATTCAAAACTAATTCAAATCCTTTATGTAGACTTTTAACCCCGACCTTGAACATCAACATGGGACGAGGAGTCACCAGATCAAGCTATCCGTGGACTGTCTGACTTCATAAACAGACTGATAAGATTCACAGGAGAACAGCATGTGTCAGCAGCTGTTGTTTAATTTCTGGTAAGCACAACTTGCTCAAGAAGAAATGTTCACCAGAGGTTACCTTTAAAGATCCCCGAAAGAGCATTGCCCATTCGCTGTATGACCCCACCCCACCGATAAGACAGAATCTTAAATCTGAATTTTTTTCTGCACTCAAGTCTTGTATGTTTTCTTTTAACTGGAAATATTTAAATCATCAGGCCAAATCCTCAGAAACTGTTAACGGGCATTGGCTCCTCGCCTACTCCCAAACTCACCCACATGCGATCCCCAGGACAGCCTCTGCAACATTATGAGGCCAAATGTCTAATTGAAAATGGATGGGCAAATGCAGTCTTCAAAGAAAAGGGCAGCTTTTGGAGTCTGTCCAAAGCGCACAGGGCAGGAGGCTGCGGGACGCCCTGAACACGGCGAGGAAAACTACTCAATGCGTTCTAAGCCTGCAAACAGAACTAATACACTGATCCAGGTGAAATAATTACTGTCCCCGAGTGTCACTGAAAGCTGAATACTAACTTTAGTTGACTTTAATCATAATTAGGGTACTTTAGGAAAAGCTGAAAATAACCTTCGGGTCATCACAAAGACTCCGAGCCGCAGTCCCGGACACAAAAGTCAGTCAGCGGCGTTAAATCAAAATAAGTGGTTTATTTTCCAGACAGAGACCCATTATATCCTTATTCCAGTTGGATGCATCTAATACGCTAACAGATTGGAGAAGGAGAAAAACAACACTGATACATTTGACAACTACAAAGGCATATTATATACAGATTAGGGTACACAGATAAATATTTTAAACTGAGACCGGACCAAAAGTTTCGTTTAAAGCGGTTTTATGGTTTCCCGTTCAGCTCTTAAATTTCCAACCAGCTATTTCACATGCAAAGCTTTAAGAAATGTACTATTTGCCAGCTAAACCAAACGACATTGCCCCGGACGTCTCCGAGCTGTCAGCACAATGCAGTGCGTTTTTTAAAGATGAAAAAAGCGCAATATAGGTGCAGAAATAAAACACCACGCACGAAAAAACTGCAAATTCAGAGAGCGAAACATCCAATTAAAACTCGCTAAATTCGTACATTGCAACTGGATATAGGCTGGGTGGGGGAAAGCACTGAAGCAGCAGCAATACAAGTTTGTTTATTTAACCCAGATTATGCAGGAAATGTTAAAAATGCCATGCAAAAAATTCAATCAGTTAACTTAAGCAAAGCGCAAAAGCAAAAAGAGCTGCCGAGTGCTTTGACTAGTCGGTTACCCCCCGATAACCTTTGTGGGCTCCACAAAGTCCTACTAACACGCTGCATGCTTATTACTTACCAGCTGCTGCCGATCCGCGGCTCGCCTGCTGTACCCGTACTCGTACTCGTACACGTCGCCCGCTGCCCAGCCGGTGAGCCACGTCCGGCGATTACCCTTAGAACTGTCGGCACCGCCGCCCCCGATCGCGGTAGATAGCTGGCAGGCCAACCATATGGCCAAAATAGACACCCGGCTGGCTCACAAAGTAAGACAAAGCGACAGGCCCCCTCCCTTCCAGGAAAATAATGAGCGCGGCGGTTGGAGGTAGTTTCGGGGGCAGCGCAGCGCATCAGCCCGGCAATCGGCACAGACCTGACGCGGCGGACGCGCTCCACCCCCCGGCCACAGCCGAGGCGCTGACGATCGGAGTTTATCGCCGTCTCTTTACGCTGCGGATAGCGCCGATGTTTTCACTTCCTCCTTCCTCCTCCTCTTCCTCCTCCCCCCGCCGCTCGGTCGCTTTCCTCCGGGCTGTGATCGGAGCCACGCTGACCAATTGCAGCTCCGCGGATCCCGACGGCACGGCAGCCGCTCCCCCCTTCGTCGCTTTGCTCTTTCTTGTCTGACATAAACTTTACCTCCCCCCGCCCTAACAAAGGCGCATCTATCCGGGTGGCTCTGGTACTCTACTGCTTCAGATTGCGATCGCCGCCCCCCCCACTCCGCCGAAAATCAGTCTCAATGATATCGCAGAGGTCAGAGTGTTGTGGGCAAATGTGTTTAACCAAAAAAAGACGAAAATAAAAAGGAAATAACAATGAACATAAATACTAATAATAAAAGAAAGAAAGCAATGTTTCACTGTATCCATTCTTTATAAAGCGTGTATTCACTTTTTATGGAAAGTTTTGATGCATTTACGTGTTGTAAGATTTCAGAAAATTGTAGGCCTACATGCAGCAGCCTAATAATTACATGGGATTAATCCTTACACTATTTGCGAGAAATTCAACGCTGCCTGGAAACCAGGCATCTTTCCGAAAGCGCTTATTTCCATGGCGCTAGTTGCAATCGGCCGACGTTTAAAAATACCTCTCCCCGTCAGCTCAATATAAGGACAGACAGACCCAGTCTGCCTTTTAAATTACAGTTAGGTTACATGCGCTGCAACCTTGAAGTTTACGTACGGCTAAAATGCAATACACTACATGTTAATCGAATACGTTTTAGTCCGCAAAATACAAAGTAGGCCTGTTCGATTAATTACTTCAACGAGGCAATTAAGAGCTGAGGTTGTGGGTAGAGCGGTATCCCCGAGGACCAGATAGGTATATGGTTACATTAGACATCAATCACAAAAATGACTGGACTGACACTTCCTAAGATCTGCTTCTATAGATTAGATTGATTTTCTGAAGGTGTGTTGGCCCTGAGGCTATGGGTCATGGTTCTGCCCTACATTGATTAAAACGATAAAGCTGAAGCAGGTCTAGGTTTTTTTTAAGAGTTGACAGCATCTTTTCTGTTGTGAAATCTCTCTTGGACATCTTTTTCACAGCAGATCATTAAAATTAAAGCCTCCTTTCCCCGATTTTACAAATAATCCGTGGTAACAGAAGCCGCCGTTCATCTGATACTTTAATCATCTCCACAGAAACAGCCCCAGAGCAAAGAAACTCGTTTGACTTATCTTGGCCACCAAACGTACTGACAGGTGATATATGGTTACCATTTAAACCAGTGTCATTCTTACACTGCTGTTTTAAACAGTGGAGGGAAAAATTACCATGTTAAATCCACTAAGTGAAATGACCTAATAAATATCAGCTGTGGAATTAAATGTCACGCACAAGTTCAGGCCCCCAAGATCGTTCCTGCCGAACTAGAGGCTTAATTATAATCCGTTCCTAAGCTATGAGGAAACCGATAGACTTTGAAACAGCTTGTCACAATTTGGGGATTGCACAAAAAAACAACTCTTAGAAGGCTCTCTAAACGTGGCAAACTTTCTTAACTCATGCAAAAAAAAGTGCATACAAGTTTCTTGGCGTGATCATGCAAGGTATGACCATAAATGGAACACGTGACAGGCCTCGTCAGAATTCAAGACCACAGCTCTGCGGACGGTAATCTCCGTGCCGGAGCAGGCGTTAAATCCGGAACGTCACGGAAGACAGATCTGTTTAATATGAAGCCCCAGGGCTCGGGGTCACTGACAGGAGAACGAGAAGATCCCTTTGAGCGAGCGAGATTTGGGAGGTTAGGGGCAGCCCGCGATCTCTTTCGCGATGATTTATGGGATGCTTTCAGCGATGGGAAAGAAAGAGAGGGTTGCCATGGGAGGGGAGATGGTACAGGGAGTGTGACAGGCTGTGTTTCCTGTTAACAGCTCTCACACGGTCTTGCGGGCTGCAGATTAGATGATGTAAACACAAGAAATTAGCCGACCCCCCACGTCCTCCTCCAAAGCGGCTCGCCGTGCAACATTATCCAGCAGCAAAAGCACTGCGACCAGCTTGCTTTCTCAAAATAGCCTCTCTTGGGTGGGGTTCAGTTCTGTCCACTCTGATGTGGTGCTTGGTGCCTCCCCAAGACGGTAGAGAGGGGGGCCCGGGCGAAAAGGCAAGCCCAGAAGGGTTACGGTTCCACCCCCTCTCGTACCCCCAAAAATTTGTCGCAGAGAATCCCTGTAGGTTCCAGTTGGAAAACAAACTAGAAGCATGGCATTTATACTGGTTAAATCGCTGTGAAAGTGTGGACCTGTCATTTTTCACAAACATATGTTCGAAATAAATTATTCTCAGACTCAGTGGCAGGAGAAGCCTATGTGCTAGACTGGGAAGGCTGGTGTTGCCAAAGCCTCCTTATGGCCAATGCTAATTACAAACGGGATATAAAACAGAGTGTAACACAGTGCATGCGGCAAGAGCGAGTAGGACTGCACCGTGCTCGCATTTTACACCGCAACCAGGAACTCCAGAACTGAAACCCTAGAACACAGTGAATATGGCCAAAAATGTATCCATATTTACATTTATTTAATAGACACATATCCAAAGCAAACATTCATTTGAGAATACAGGGTCAGACAGTCTCTGAAGCACCTGGCGTTAAGGGTCTTGCCCAAAGGCCCAATGTTGGGATCACCCAGCCAACCCAGTGATTTGAGCCTGCAACCTTCCAATCACATGCACAGCATCCTATCCTTGAGCCACACACAACCCACAGCCTGTGTGTTACTGATCCAGGACAGGGCCACACTGAGCCGGAGGCTTAGGGAAATGCATACCATTTCTCATATACAATTCTAGCCAATAGTGCAAATGTTAAATTGTTACGAAGCATTAAAATCCAGTTCCAAAAAATTCGGCACAAAGCACCGTACATCAGATTTGAATTATGCTTTATTTTTGCATGAATCAGCAAACGCAGACCAGGAATCCTTGGTCAGTGTGTATTTCATTTATTCATGTGCAATTACGCAATCTCTAACGTATGCTAGGGAGGTCGGCTGATGCTACCATTCACAACTCAGACGAAACACCTTAACTCAGTAGATAATATAAAGTTACATTTCCAAACACTGCCTAGAGAAAACAGAAATCATACAAATAATATGCAGAAAGATAACGGCTGCAATACATGCACAGCATCCTATCCTTGAGCCTTGGATGCGGTTTTCAAAATACATCTCCGTAAGCTTTCGCATTTCAGCCGTGGACAATCGCATTCGCTTCTCCCGCGAGCCTCTGATGTTCCCAGGCTGCTGTTCCATACAGATTCAGGACTCTGCCTTGCTGTCCCCCCACCCTCGCTGGGCTGGGGGCTCGTCTTCCGTGTGCTACTGAGTGACGATCAGAGTAGAGGGATGGACAGAGAGGAGCTGGAGAGCAGGACGAGGCACATCTGGGGAGCCGAGCCAGGGGCCGCAGCCTGGTCATCAGTCTGACGCAGAGCTCTCGCCCTCCTTGGAGGACTTGTGCTTCTTCTTCCTCTTTTTCTTCTTCTCTTTCTTCCTCTTTTCCTTCCTCTTCCTCTTTTTGTGCCGGACGTGGTCCGAGGAGCCGCTGCTGCTGGCCGAGTCGGACGTGGTGTCCTCCAGCAGCTGGCGCAGCTGCTGAATCCTGGGGAGGGAGAGGGGGCGGGGCGGGTGAGGGCGGCAGGAGGGGGCAAGGATGTGCCAGCAAGTAACCGGGAGTTTAAATACCCAGGAACAGAAGCCGCTCATTTAACGCAGGAGGAACAGTGTTTACAGGGCATTACCGATTACAGTAACGATGTGAACGAGGACTAATAGGATTTCTGGAATTTAGTGGAAGAGCCATCAGACAACAGAAAAATTAAGGAACTTTGGGAAAATCTAACAGGTATGTGAGAGAGAGACCTCCTTCAGCACCTCAGAACTTTCACATGCAGTTACACTCTGCATCCTGTCGTGGAAAATGCGGCCTGAAAATGACATACCTGAAAAGCACGTGATACCCAGACTGACATGTCAAAAACAAAGATGTCGCATTTTTGGATGCGGTTTTCAAAATACATCTCCAGATAGAGATGAGTCATGGTAACACAGCAAGCACTGGGATACACGCTGACACACCTTGTTTAAATAGTTTTGTTTAAAAACGAACCTTGTTTCTTTTTCGTTGCGCTTGTTCTCCCTGATCAGGTCGTACATGGGGTCTTCGTGTGCCTGCAGAAAAAGAAAGGCGTGATTCACACTCTGGGCTTCTGGCCCACCCACCACCTGCCTGACAGACCGCTGACGCGCACGGAAAGGTCGCTTGGGGCAACACTCACAACTCTGAACTGCTCCAGCTTCTGGTTTCCTTTGATGAAGAAGGGACATTCTTTGTCCCCTGTCCGGTGCCCGTAGTTTTTACACCGCCAGCCTGGGAGAAAAGAGCAGACCTTCGTCACTGAGAGCCACCTCGGGCTGTAGAGCAGAGACAGAACATTTGATGTGAGAAGGGGTAGGGGAGGTTCAAAAGCCCATTGTAAGATAATGACCTGGGTCACTCCAAGCCAATCAGCTGCGAGCAAAGGAAGGCAGCCCCTACTGGAAGACGCAGGCTGGGAGACCACCGTGTGCATGAAGTAGTCTGTCTTTTACAACAAATTAAACAGGCACAACACAATCTCAAACGGGGCCTGCTCTAGCTATAGGCGGAATCGCCAAATGCCTAGGGTGTGGAGGAAGTGAAACTATCAGTTTTCTTGGTACGGGGGCCTCCCAAGTAAAGTTTTGCCTAGGGCCCCCGAGAAGGTAGCTGGCCCCACTCATAAATCACAGCCACTTCCCAAATGAAGGACCCCACACACAGCAACAGTTAACACACTCTTTAGAATTAATTGGAAACTATGTAATAAAATAAAGATGTTCATGTATAAACGTCTGAGGCGTCCGCACTTTTCCGTCCTCCCGTCTGTAAATCTTATCGACGTTCCCATCGCGGGTGTGAGCTACTGCCGTACACGTCAGGAAATTCCCCATTATCTCACTTGTTTCGAATAATCCCAGCGAGGAAAAAAATGGCCCTCAGAGCAGGTTTCACATCCCGCAGCCTGTGTTAACATTTCCCTAATATATTAATAACAGCAGTAAAATGCGCACCCAACCCATAAATTGTACCAGAGGAACAAGAGGCAAGTTGTCTGTGCACAACGAGTCTGTTCACTTTGCGTACCGTGAGATGTGTGGACTGTGAATTAATGAGAAAATAATGAAGCTGTTGTTGATGCTTCAGAGCGATAGCTATTCTTTGGTTTATCAGAATAAATGCACACAGCGAATGTCCGTCTGGACCGCTGTGTGAGGTGATGCAGTCAGGCTGAGGGTAGTTGGGGTCCCTTACCGGACAGCAAAGTTGTTTCACTATAAATATATATTTCACAATCAGCCCTAATATACATTACTGAGGTCTGCATACTGTAAATACTGTGAACGTTATTGTGGTGATTACTGACCGACCGCAGGAACAAGACTGAGGGACTGAGAAAGGGTGATGCGAGATGAGATGCTTGACGCGGAGAAGCTAGTCTGAAGTTTCCACAGCCAAAGTTCTCGTAAAGCATACAACACCGACTGGTCGGAGAGCTGGTCGTTAAACAGGTATGTCGTTAAACAGGAGGGTCGTTAACTGAGAACTGTCCGTATCTTAATGCTAGAATCAATTATCCAAATGAAATTTTCAGATCAAAAGAATTTATATTTCGGGTATCGATTCGATCATCCTTGATACATTACACTTCTGCCACACTACACTGCAAAGGCGATTTTGATATAGTGATGTTGCATTCACATCAATCCGATTCTTTTGAATGGTTCACTGCTGCCCTGTGCTAAGTCCAATTCACTCCCCTTTACGTGAACAGTGACATGAAGCCAGTCACACCAGCTGGATATTGTCCGGTTAGGTTCCTGAAAGACAGAATGAGCAGGATGCCTGTATCGCAAAGCAAGATTTCTTGCTTAGCTGGATAACTTGTCAGATTTAAGGTACCCTTGATTTTATCTTCATTCACTTATGTGTACCACGGGCAACCTTACGTCATGCGGCCAAATGAGAAATCCTGCTTCACGATACAGACCCGGGTATTTCTCAACTGCTGTTTATAAACCCACCATTTAAAGTTGGCCCCTTCCCCCTGTCTAAACGAGGGGGAGGGGGCCCCGGTGGTCTGTTTATTTTAAAAACATCTCGCGTGAAATGGAATTCAGATGATTGTTTACCTGATTTGCACTAAAATCTGTTTCGCACAAAAGCTATTTATTGTACTTAGAAAAAAATTCTAATATTAAGTGTTACATTAATTACATTTAGGGCAAAATAACTTTATTTACATAACATTTCATACAGAGAGTAAAATCAAAGAAGTAAATTCACTGACAAAGCAGAGGGATATTGTGTCACCTTGTATAATATTTACAATGCAGATCATTGACATCAGGTCTGGCAATATGAGTAATTTAGTGCTGCTGAATTAGGGCTGGGTAACATATTATACCGCGCATGTGCAATAATCACCTCGGCTTCAGATAACAGGCGAAACATTTGGCCGGATGCCAGCTTTTCGGTGCTATACGGACGTTTATTCATGCACACAGTTTGGTAAGCAGATTAGTAGCATGGCTAAAATATTAATAGGATGTATTTTGTGACACCCAAAAGCTATTAATCTGTATCTTTATTGTATCTTTACGTTTATGGAGCCCACCACATAATACTGTTTTGGTATACCATGGTTTGGTATACTTCAGTGTGATATGCACTGTAATGGAGCACACCACGTAATACTGTTTTGGTATACTATGGCTTGGTATACTTCAGTGTGATATGCACTGTAATGGAGCACACCACGTAATACTGTTTTGGTATACTATGGCTTGGTATACTTCAGTGTGATATGCACTGCAGCAGAGCACACCACATAATACT